GATATTCATTGTATATGAAATAGAATTGACCATTAAAGTTTAATTGTTAGAGAGTTTACTTAAGTATCGATTGTTTTTTCTTAGATTAAATGCTGAGGCGGAAAACTAATACCAAGTGAAATATTTCCATGGGATTATTTTATCTCGGGAATGTCAAATGAAAAATAGAATTCATATCTAAATCCGGTATGTCGCTGTTGTATCTTTGAATTGTTTCCGATTTTTTATTGATTTTCTGTCTACCACTTTCGGCGATTAACTTTCTAAAACGTTCACTTCTTTTTCTTTAAGTCGGTGTTACAAAATATTTTTGGAGTTCAAAATTGGCATCAATACAGGAAGAATATTTGCACCTGATTTCACCATTAGAAGAAGTAACTAGTAAGAACTGCCTTGTCGTATTGTCAAACAATTATAAAGCTGATGTCTTTCTGTCTGCTGAGGAAACTAACTTTAAGTGCTACCGTACTTGAATCAAATTTTACAAATTAAGTAAAGGAATTTTATGCACCGGGCTCGCATGTAACTGTTTAGTAGTTCAGCTGCAGTCTTTATTTGGAATGATCAACCAAAATTTGAAGGGAAATTTCGAGAGATGGAACTCAAGAATAAAATAAATTGTTGCAACCTTTTAATTTTTCTTCCAAAGTTAGCGTAGGTAAAAATTGGTTTAGACATCACTGCATTAAATTAAATATAATGAACTCTTTATCGGTTTATTTGAAGAAGTAACTCTGACATATTATTCCCTCCATAGATCTCAAATTTATATTTAAGCTCCATGAACGATATAAATATATCACCCCGCGGGGAGAATTTTCCCTTTCATTATCTTTTAGAATTCAGTGAGAGAGAATGTTTATCACCTAAAATTATAGTGCCTCACGACTAAGTTTCTATCCAATTGGTTAAATCTTGGAATGAATTTCCACCACAAGATAAAAATATGAATCATCTCACATTTGAATACAAAAGCCGCCCATACTGAGGACAACTGTCATTGATCGGAAAAATGAGTAAGTTTTGATATCAACTTTAATATATAGAGACCTTCAGAATTGTAATCATCTTCGGGATACTAAATGTGAATATTTAAGGTAAAACATCAATCAATTGGAAACTATTTGAACGCAGTCTGCGTAAATGACAACACTTTACAGTTTTTTTTTCTCCGCGCCTCACATCCGACTAAAATTGAAAACGGAGACAATTACTTGACAGGTAGAGACCTTTAATATTATAATCATTTAGGATACTGAATTTGAAATTTTTAAGTCTAAACATTAATCAACTGGAAACTATTTGAGCGCAGTCTGCGTAAATGACAACCATTTTCTCTGCGCCTCACATCCGACTAAAATCGAAAACGTAGACAATTACTCGACAGGTATGAAAAATTTTGGAAGGATAAGAACCACAATAGCCTCCATTTGGCTTGAAAATACTGAGTCATGGATATTTATCTGCAGACATTATCTGTTCCGAGATGCGAACAGTTTTACGAGAATAAACCTCGAGGAAAACTGTGTGCTTCGAAAAGAAACAAAGCCAGTGGAAGAAAGTCGGCTCCAAAGTTTCAGCATCTTCTTTACCTCTGTTGTTTTACACGGAAGAATAAAAAAATAAATGTATATACATAAGCTTTTTCCCTTTGTACGTGCGCTCTAATTGACAGGTGGGAAATCATGACAGACAATTGCAAAAAAAATGTTTTAAAGTTTGTTTGGAAGCCCTTTTTAATCACCTTTATCTTTACGCAAATAAAAATGTTTAGGTAAAGCCTCTCTCTTTAACTCTGTTTTGACCACCATTTACACGCTCAAAAACTGTTCAGTTTATGGAGGATCTTGCTGTACTTACAGCCCTAATACGTTTACGTTCTTTCGGCAAACGTTTCATTTAGTTTTAGAAAAAGTAATGTTATTTACCGTCCTAATTCGATCCGTATTGGGAAAAATTGTGCCCTCTGTCTTGAGTGCCTTCATGGTCTACGGCCTCGGGCGTTGCTCAAGACCTCGGGCACAGTTTTTTCCAAGACGGACCTCCCGACTGCTGAACAACATACTGGTATGTTGGCTGATAATATCCTTGGATGAGAGATTGTCCTTAAGATTTTCCAGGTTCCCTCGGAGCTTCGTTTCGCGGCTAAATACTAATTTTTTAGTCAATATCTCAGCTGCGGGTGTTACCAGCCGACGTACCAGCCGCCTCAAGCGGTTTATTTGCTACCGTTAAATATATCCGCTCCATCTCGACCAAATATCTTAATTTTGAAATTCAGCTCTACAAGAATAAACTGAACTCGAAGACCTTTTAACTCCATGGACAACGAAGCGCTTGTCTAATTGTCTGCTTCACTGCTTGTCTTACTTCGCCAATCTTCCAGCAGTAGAGAAATGGATTTAAAGTCGAGTTAAAGTAAACTAAGGAACTTGCTATTTGCCTTAAGACAAGTAAACGTGATTGATATGTTTCACTATAAGCGATCATGCCCGCAATTTCCACTAGATTAATTGGAGCAGTGCAAATAACCAATGCCAAATGCACCCACAGTGCACTGCACACTGCTTTTCTGTATCGTGCTATGTTCAGTGCGTTTGGTTGGTTCGGCTGTTGTTGAACATAACCTTGTACTTGAGCGTAATGATGACTGAGAACACAGAATATCTTAATGTATGAGGTCATCGAAATAACTAAGCAAGATGGTATTGCTATATATCCATACCAAAAAGTTATACGGTAATCTAAAATGTAGCCCAGAGCAGTGACACTGGATAAAATCCAAAAGGTAGCTGCTATCATATATGTGCGCTTCAAAGTTACAAATTGTCTGTATCTCAGTCTCAACAACAGGGCGAGAAGTCTGTCCACGCTTATGGCCATCATCGTCAATAGAGTCACTGAACATAATGCGTAGCCTGTGATGTAGGCTGCGTCCCTTGCGTAT